TCAAATTAAAAACTATTCTGTGAAGGTTTGTTCCCCTGCAAATACTGGGTTTATATGACAATGTCAGAGAAAGCAAAATCCCTTAGTTGTTTGACCCAACATTTCTTTATGGATGGTCTTGGGGTCAGTTTGCCACACGGCAGACAATGACCTCTGAACTTGTGTAGCTCTTAGTGTAGCACGTATCCACACTTCAGAGGAGAACATACAGTACTCCTGTTCATACACGGACTGTGCATGGGTGGATGTCTACTCTTGGATTTGAGAGGTTCTATCAAGAAGTTGTCAGAGCTCCAAAATTTTATCATTAAGAACTCCTTAGGAGGAATTCTTGTGTATGTGTGCATGTGTCTGGGATAGATAGATATAGGGATGAAATTCTTGCAGGACAGAATATAGGGGGGGGGAGTAAAAAACCCCAAAGCCTCGACAAGTGTATAAAATATTCAACTCGTATTAGAGCATGCCATAATACATCTATATTACATTTTCCTCACAGGCAAAACCTATAGGCTATTTTTTTCTTGAATATAGTTATTCAGTGCTACCAAACATAAAGAGCAAAATCATACTCAGTTTTTCATGTATTACGGTGAATTGGAAGAATAACTATGAGAGTTTCTAACTCAGTCAAAAGGCTTCTTAAATCTTTTAAGGATGAGGTCCTGAGTTTGTGTATCAGTTTCTGCCTGACCAGACACCTGCATCCAAGTGGAGGTCTGCTCCTGATCCTTAACAGGACACTGAACCTTGTTAATGTCACTTACATGACTGTGGAGAGAGTTTTCTTTGGCTGTTTTGAAGAGTATCTGGAGTTGGATTTGTTTGGAAAGAGAATGGTGGGTTTTATTTATTTATTTATTTATTTACACTTTCTTTGCAACTTCATTTGCAGGGCTTTGCTGCTATAAATCTTTATGCTTTGATCCTCGAGCACAGATTTCTTTTTTTACAACTTTTTGGGTGTCCACTACTGCAAACACAAAGTAGTGAAAAACGCCATCAAGCTTTTTAGTACCATACTCCTGCTCATTTAGAATCTGGGTACTTTTAAGAGATACTGCTTGCTTATCTTCACCTTCAGATTTATGCACAACTTAATTTTCACCTAAATGGTCCCTTTAACGACAACACATTATTCCAATTACATCAACACCTAGTTAATGTAACTAACAAAGTGCAGCAAAACAAATATAGAACAAGGTTTCCTCAAACATCAGTTCGATCTGTGTAAAAACTTAAAGGCCTGTGATACAGAAAAAGGTCACAAGGAAGAAGCTGCTGGTATACAAGGATGGAAGAAAATGGAGCTAATGCTTTTGAAGATGTTTGCTAAGGTCTGTAGAAAAATATCTAAACCTGGGGGTGGGGTGCAAGCATATGTGCCAGAGAGCATGCTGCAGAAGCAGCACAAGAAATGGAGGACTGCATATTGCCTGCTGTGTGTAGCCTTGCAGTCGTTATTGCCTGTGCTACAGCTGTGCCGTTTCTCACTGCTTCGGTTTGTTCTTTAAATCAAACTCCAGCCTGTCCCTATACTACCGTGAATGCTATAGTTACGGTGATAAAGTCATAGCACTGGAAGTGATCACCTATAAAATGTGACAGGAACTGTGTTATCGGCTCCTTATGAACGTAACAGGAAGGAAAGACATCTTAAAACAAATAGCATTCACTCCAGCACTTCATAAAAGGTGCATTAGCATCAAGAGGATCACAAGTTTTTTGATGCATCACATGTGATGAAAATGTCTTGAAGTTGTCAATGACACATTTCTGTATATATTTAAAAATGTGGTTGTATGTGTTCTTGTCACTCAGAACTTAAGATCTAAATATGTTACTCTGTAGTTGTGTTCTGCTCAATTTTGTACTTTTTTTTTTTTTCCTACAGGGTTTGCCTGACCACATGCCTTTGGATTGGGGTCTTTTGAAATGCTTCTGAACTTCCTGAGCTATGCCAGCACCTGTGTCTGCCTCATCCTTGATTGCTGGTGCCTTCCGGGCCTGCATGTTTGTGCTGTCAAGAGAACAAAAATTGCAGTAGATCATACAGGTCTTCTTAACGTCACCTCCTTCCTCCTTCACAGCTCTTAATGAACTTACAGAATGCCTTAGGAGGTCAGACCAAAAGCCCATCTAGGTCAGTGTTCTGGCTGACTGGAGATACTAGTTAGAGAGAACGCGGTCTGTTTCCCTCGTACTCTCTCCAGCATCCAGAATTACTGCATTAAGGATGGTAAACAGTGTGTACTTGCCTCGCCTTTAGAGTTTCTTGTGGAACTGTGACCATGAATTTTCTGACCGTATTCTGAACCCGCTGATATTATCTAGCTCCACAACCTCCTGTGGCAGACAGTTTGAAAAGGTACTAAGGATGTGCTTCCTTTTAAAGAAGCTGCACGTTGGTTCTAGTACCGTAGGATTTGGTGAATGTTTTGTGTTCATCTTATCTGATGCATTTATATTGTAAGCCACAACCACACTCACTCCTCAGTGTTTTCTTTTCCAGGTGAAGAGTTCCAGTCTTCTCAGTGTCACTTCATAAGGAGGGACTCTATCTCCCTAATCAATCCCCAGTGCCTTTTTCTGTACCTTGAAGTGCCCCGTGTCTTTGCGATGTGTAGATCAGAACTACATGCAGCACTCATTCAACAGGAGTACACAAAGATTTAGTGTAGTTGCAAAGTGTTTTCCTCTATCTTGTTACCCATACCCCTACTGATGACAACCAACATCTTCTCTTTGGCTGCCAGTGCACGCTGATAATTCTGTTAAAATCTGTTTTTACCCATTCAACAGTTTTTGTGAAGTTCTTGTGGACTTTTCTCCCCATCAGCACAGCACAATACGAGCTTATCTATACTGCAGGCTGCACTGCACACGTGCTTCTACAGGTCACTGATGAAGATGTATTCAAGCAGTCCCAGCACCAGCTTTCAGGAAGGTCCCCTCGCTGACTTTTCTGTGATAAGTGACCATTAAGCCCTATCCTTTGCTTGGTATCTTTTAATTGGTTTTCAAGTCATGAAAAGGACATCTCTCCCAACTCCAGATTAGGTTCTTTAACAAAAGCCTTGCCAAAGGATTTTTATCCCTGTGCTTTTCTGACGCTATTTTAGCCCTCTACAAGCTTTGTGAACTTAAATTCTCCTTTATACAAGTCCTACACCTTTCTTAGCTGTTTACCCTTGCTCTCAGTAAACTTACTCTTTATTGCAGACTTGACCATCCTATTAGGATTGGAAGTTGTTCATTGGTCTGTAGCTCAGTCTTCCCTCTAGATCCTCCTTTTTATAGATGACAGCTGTGTTGGCAATCTGTCAGTCCTCTGACACAGAGGCAATCTGTAACGATAGGTGAACGCACCTTGCTCAGCAGTTCTGCAACCTCACACCTGATTTCCTTCAGAGCTCTTTGATAAAAGCCGTTTGGTCCTGAGAACTTACCAGCATCTAGTTTATCTCTTTAAAGTAATTGCACAGAAGGCGCTAGCCCATGTTGATCTAGATCTTCTGGCCCAGCTGCTACAGAGAATTTGGCTTCTCTGTCACAGTCTCTACTGGTGGGTGCCCCTTCTTAGACCTTTGTCATCAGCTCTCTCATTAATTCCCTGCCTGGTCCCCTGCTTTTGATGTATTTAAAGAATTCTGTGCTACTATGCTACCACTGTGAGCATCATCTTTGGACTGTTTTTTTTTTTTTTAGACTGGCTATGTGTGCAGTTGACCCCTGAGGTGCTGCAAGTTTTCCTGTTCTCCTTGCCAGCATTCAAAACACAGAACTCCCTCTGAGTAACTTTCCTATTGAGCCATGTAAGTAATTTTTTTACTTCTTTTTGAGCTGTGGCACATGTTTTACCTGGGCTTTTAAGACAGTATTTAACAGCCCCCAGGCTGGTTGTAGGCATCTTGCTATTTGGACTGTTCCTTTTTTTTGTTGTTGTTTTTTTGCTTTATTAACTGTCTTTATTTCTACATTGTTCCAACTTATTAGTTCAGATTTTACTTTGACTGTCCTCTCTTGAAACAGTATTAACCTTACTGTATTGTGGTTGCTGTTATAGAGTAGCTCTCCCATGAATACCTTTTACACCAGTACCCATGCCCTACTCAAGCTGCTGCTTTTGATTCAGTTATTATTTGAGATCTACTAGTTGTTTCAGGAGGCAGTCATGCATCCCTGGAATACTCTACCTCATCACAAGCTGATATGCATAATCTCATTAGGATGTGGTCTTGAGATCTCTCACTAGGAGGATATACTATGTAGGCATATGCAGAGGTTTTATGAGCAATTCATACAATATGAGATGTGAGCAGCTACAAAAATGGCATTTTTAAATGGCATTACAAATTCTTACGTGAGCTTTTCACAAAGCTGTGTGAACACAGAAAACTGGCAACTGCTGTAACTCCTGTTCCAAAAGACTCATCTGTATTGCTTTATAAATATCATTCGGGATAACACGTTCCTTCTGCTGCTGCTTAAGAAAGACAGCGTGTTGTGGATTACAAAATGTTGTTGCTTCCCATTCTCCCATTTTGCAACCAGAGTCAGTTAAAAGGATCTGAGTTCCGACTGATCTAAGCCTTCTTGCCTTCAAGATTCCACAAACCATTTTGAATTGTGTCCTTTGGTACAAGAGAGAGCGATGCACTGGCAATACATGTACTCCGAATACTGCTGAGCCAGGAAAAGAAGAAATCCAGGATGAAAATATGTAGAATATAATTTTATATTAATGGCTTAACACGTCTGACGTCATCAGAGGCTATATATACATACACTGTTTCAAAGTAAAGGGATGGCAAGGTGCATGGAGTCATTAAATTATAGTTTCCACCATGGTAATTCTCTTAATAGTAGCTGAAGAACCAATGATATTTTGTTCAGCTTTAAAACACATCTCAAAACCTTATAATAAACTTCACGTGAAAAATCTTGGCAATATCCTTTGGATTCATGTACTAAAGTTAATGAGGAAGCCTTAAACAGAAGCCCATTATAATGAAATTTATTTAAATTCTTGAGCACACTATATTCATAACTTTTTAGCACTTCCCAATGAGGTGTTTACTGTATGTTTCTATAAATTACGCATTCATTGCATAAAACTGCATTCATTTCTCTAGCAGCATACTATATAAATTATCACAAAAACAGATGAACCAACAAAAGATTCTTGAATACATGTAACGTTGGTGGGCAGATAATATCGGTTATAGCTTATCTTCATGGTAAGCAGCTCTAAATGAATCCCTCTTGAATTCATTTAATTAAGAAGCTGAAAAGAAAGAAAACATGATTAAATGCTGAAAAACGCATTTAAAACATAGCATCACAATTATCTGAAAAGAATAAACAAGGATTTCAAAACATTCATTTGAAAAGTCATTTGACATTTGTGTAATAATCTCTTAAGTTTTTATATCCCATTTAGTAATTACTAAGCAAGCATGAAAGTTATCAAATAAAACTTGAGTGACTGAAACTCAATTTGCCTATTTAAAAAAAATTAAAAAGCAAAATGCACTTCAAACATCTGTTCTCTTTAATCAAGTTCTGTATCTGCTCTTACCACTTAAAGTGAGAACTACCTCTCCCAGGAGACGTTTCAGATTTATTTAAAACATTCTTCCTTTACTGTTGAAGTGGCCCCAGAGTGGGAAGAGTATAGAGGACATGGCAAGGCTCTGTAGGGTTGCAGAGTCTTAATATTTTAATAAATTAAGAAGTTTCAGATGATGTTGCTGTTTCTTTACCCCTGGAATGAAACTTTGTATTTTTTAAAAAGTAGATATATCTTGTGTGTCATGCCTTTTGAAGTACTTTACCAAAGAAGAGATATCTCATAAATTGGGAAATGGGAACACAGAGAGAAATACTTGTGCATGACTATAGACTGAGTTAACTGTACAAAAACAAAAGCAAAGAACTACTGAACAGAGGGGCCTCTTCACGACATCTAGCTTTGCATGAAAGACCTTTCATCTCCTTATAGATGTGCAGTGTGCTCTAGCATACACATGTTGTAATAATTTCATCAGTTTTCCATCAATGGTGTAATTAATTAATCATTACAAAACATAAATACAAGTGCCATAAGCTTAAAAGACTGTACCAGTATAAAGATGTTCCCTGCTGCAAAAAATTGACAAGCTCATTAGGCAAGACACACAAACCAAGGCAAAACAGATGGCACCTGGCTGGGTGCTGGAAGGTGAAGTGACTGTGGAAGGGGAAAAGCTAGCAAGAACAACTGCATGGAAGAGGTGAATCATAGGGTGCCGAGTGGAGAAGAGAACGGTGAGCACACGAGACTAAAAAGGTAACCCAGGTCTAGGATAGCTGTGTAAGGTGATGTATAGGAAAGAAGGAACGAAGATAAGAGAAGAGAGAGGAGGAATGCTGGTAGTGAAAAAGTGTGGGGAGAAGAGTGAGAAGGGCTGAAGGTTACAATAATGAGGCAGGTAGTGGTGACAGGCACAGGAGGGGTAAAAGACTGAATGATGTAACTGTAGAAAACACAGATACGGCAGTGTCATTTAGGTTAAATTTGCCACCGCCATATCTATTGCTCCTTACTTTCTGCCTGCAAGCAAACTGCATCTTTAGCAGCTAAGAGATATGATATAGAATATAGATAATGTAAACACTGAAAGTTCTATGGAATTTACAAAACAAGATTAAGAGGCTAGATCCACAAAGAAGGAAAAAGCCTAAGGTGGAAAACCACAAGAAGCCAAAACACCATAAAAAAATCATAACCTAGAGGGAAGCCAAAAGGCAGGGGGTGAGGGGCACTGGCGAGGGGAAGGTTTCCTGAAAAATCTAGAGTAACAAAGTGGACAACGCATGTTGGGGTAGATCTGCAAAAAGAAAAAAGAAACCATGTCCCCTTACGCAAAGTAGGGGAAAGCAGAACAGGAAAGGATGGCCAAACTGTATCCTTCCAGACAAAAACTAACTGGAAATGGATAGAATACTTAGAAGTAAATGGTAAACTGTAAGACTTACAGGAAAGCCCTAAAAGCAAAAAGAGACATGCTTAATGGCAGCAATCATTGAAGGAAGGTCCTACACGTAGAAAAGCATGCAAACTGTTTACCACAGGAAGAAGCACGCCCGTAAGAGAACTGCTACGGAGCCAGACAGCTGGAATACAGATCTCCCATTCCTTACAGACACTGCCTTTGACACTGTTTCCCACAGCTTTCTTTGGGAGAAACTGGCTGCTCACAGCTGGGATGGGTGTAGTCTTCGTTGGGTAAAAAACTGGCTGGAAGGCCAGGCTGAAAGAGTTGCGGTGAATGGTGTTAAATCCAGCCGGTGACCGGTAACAAGTGGTGTTCCCCAGGGCTCAGTACTGGGGCCTCTTCTCTTTAATATCTTTGTCAATAGCCTGGATGAGGGGATTGAGTGCACCCTCAGGAAGTTTGCAGATGACACCAAGTTGGGTGGGAGTGTTGACCTGCTTGAGGGTAGGAAGGCTCTACAGAGGGATCTGGACAGGCTGGATAATGGGCCAAGGCCAATGGTATGAGGTTCAACAAGGCCAAGTGCCGGGTCCTGCACTGGGGTCACAACAACCCCATGCAGTGCTACAGGCTTGGGGAAGAGTGGCTGGAAAGCTGCCCGGCAGAAAAGGACCTGGGGTGGTTGGCCGACAGCCGGCTGAATATGAGCCAGCAGTGTGACCAGGTGGCCAAGAAGGCAAACAGCATCCTGGCTTGTATCAGGGATAGTGTGGCCAGCAGGACTAGGGCAGTGATTGTCCCCCTGCACTCAGCACTGGTGAGGCCCCACTTCAAATTCTGTGTTCAGTTTTGGGCCCCTCACGACAACAAAGACGTTGAGGTGCTGGCGCTTGTTCAAAGGGCAACAGAGCTGGTGAGGGATCTAGAGAACATGTCTTATGAGGAGCAGCTGAGGGAACTGGGGTTGTTTAGCCTGGAGAAAAGGAGGCTGAAGGGAGACCTTATATCACTCTCTACAACTACCTGAAAGGAGGTTGTAGAGAGGTGGGGGTCGGTCTCTTCTCCCAAGTAGCAAGTGATAGGACAAGAGGAAGTGGCCTTAAGTTGCACCAGGGGAGGTTTAGGATGGATATTAGGAAAAAAATTTTCACTGAAAGAGTTATCAAATGTTGGAACAGGCTGCCCAGGGAATCGGTGGAGTTGTTGTCCCTGGAGGTATTTAAAAGATGGGTAGACATGGTGCTTAGGGACATGGTTTAGGGGTGGTTTTGGCAGTGCTAGGTTAATGGTTGGACTTGATGATCTTACAGTTCCCTTCCAACCTAGAAGATTCTATGATTTTATTTATTAATTCAGTGTGCTGTTAGATGAACAGAGAGAATGAGTTGTTTTTCCTTCCATTTCAATGGGCAGCTTCTTTCTGAAGAACACGGTGTCTAGCCACATTAAAAGAAATAGTATAGAGAATGCTAAACGTAAGATTCTTTGTTTTGACAACTGTGTATTATTGTTTTGCTGTCTTAATATAATCCCAATTTCTGCCATTTTGAAGAAAGTGACCTATTTTGCTGAGCACTATAGACCTGAATGTGAATCTTGGTGTTTATCAGAAGTCGATTTACCAGTTCATAAACTTTAGGTGAATCAATTTAATTATGCATGACGATGCATGACGTCAACCTGAAAGATCTGAACAGTTGTTAGTAGTGCTCATGTTTATCAATAAACTTAATCTTATATGTCTGCAGATACTATTTGTTCTACTACTAATATTTTACCAGTATATTTCCAAGAAATAACTATCCCATTTTATTCACTTGCATTTAATTTCAATTGCTCAATATTATACAGGATTTCTTTACTGAAAATAATTTAATTACAGTGAGGGTAGACATTTCTTATATGGCATATATGGTGAATGCAAGGAATTTTCAAGCTCTGGGGCATCTTGCAATTTGTCTGTTCTTGCTGGATTGACTGTTTTTCTCTAAGCAATGAATGAATACTTCATGTCTGACTTAACATTTATGTTTTTTTGATGAAAATAAGGCATCTTTTATTTATCATGCTTTCTTGAAGCTCAGTTCATTTTCTTTGCTAGTCAATACAGAATATGTAATTTTCCATTTCGCCAATACCTAGCTCTGAAGGCTGATTATTTTTTACAGTTTAACTAAAAACTTCACATTATTTCACATTACTCTTCTCACTAATATCCAAATACAATGGCTATAAAGGATAATCTGATAATGAAACACTCAGCTGCAAGTACCAAAAATTCTTTAAAAAGCTACCCAATGCAAGCTAGTTAATGAAACCTTATATGAAAACTTGGAATTTTCATGTGTTCATATGATTTAAATTCAGATTAAAACAACAGCAAATGTACACTTGGAAGGACAATTGGAAGTATCAACAATAATGAAACTGTGCTAGAAGTTTCACCCAGAAAAAAAGCAGAAAAAGCAACACAGGGCAGTTAATAAGTTTCAGCTACAGCTTAAAAAAAAACAATAAAAAGAAAGAAACTTTTTTATCATCATTAAATGGTGGATAAGGCTTTTGCCTGTCTGTCCTCTTGAAGAAACCACTGTTACAAATATCTATATTCCTAACATTCCCAGTAATACATTACTGTGCTAGTGTACTGATGTCTTCTGTTTTGTTCTTACCATCCTTCCTCATCCTTTTTAATATTCTGTGTGCTTTTTGGACTGAAACTGCCTAACATGAGTTTTCCAGAGAACCCTCCAAGCTCTTTCCTGACTTGCAAAGCTAACTCAGAGTTCATGCTTTTGGCTTATAGTTAAGAAGAGTCTCTCTGTCATTCCCATGTGTATTAGTTGAGAGATAAAATTCTGTGTTGATATAATGAAATTTTATTGCTCAATCACTGACTATCTGATACTTTAATATATGACTTTTTCACTTTAAATATTGGGCTGAGAAGGCTTCTGAAGAAGATTCTCTCGAATATATCAACACTCTTGTCTTATCCAGAAAGCATTATAAAGGGGAAAATGTTCAACAGTGTAAAACAAAATTATTGCATTATCTTTTAGCAGCTAATGATAGCAATTAAAATGGAAGTTTTAGGAAAATGAAAAATTTCATCTAGTTCCCATAAAAAAGGTGGATTAGTAGAGGCATGAAAAAACCCTGCCATGGTAAAAATGGCTCTAGCAAAGAGATTTGTTACATGCTAGCTCATCCATCACAATTGTGTTCGCTCAGTAAGTAACCTTCATGATGACCTCCATTTTGTATCACCTCTCCCATTCCAACATTTTACTGTATAAGGGTATTTTACCAGCATATTAATTAAACCATTTTTTTTCCCAACCCTAGCCTTCAAGAAGAAAAATCTGCAGACAGAAGAATCATAAACTTAATTGGAAAATGTCTGAAGTGACTGAAAAAAACATAAACAAAATGTTACTCTCCCTTCCTACATACATGCCCTCTACAGAGCACACTTTTGGACCTGTGCTCTTATCTAGCACTCCTCTGGACGCTTTTCTGTTTGTCACAGAAATTAACAATGACAATGGCATTACCAGGGTCAAAGAAATAACAGCATTCCCAGTACTTTTATTTATGCACATTAGAAAAGAAAATAACAGTCTTTCTCCAGTTTTTGACTCCTGCGTTATGTTTATCCACCTCTGTTTTGATTTATCTTCACTACATGGAGGTCACTGAAGAGAGAGAGGATGCACAGCAGGTTGTGTTACTGTTTCAGTTTTTATCGATGCATGCTGCTTCATAGAGGACTTATTTGGTTGCTCAGTATCAGAGAACAGAAACAATTTAGTATATTTGACTTTTTTTTTTAAAGTAGGACAGCGAAGTTGATGCCTGAGATTGTGCATATAGCATTAAAAAAAATTCAGTTTTGTTTAACGGTTGCTTTAGGCATGCCAATATAAATATTCTTTCTTTTTTTTTCTGGTAGATTATTAGTATGCGTTGTTGTTAGTATCGTTAAAGACAAAGCTTTACTAGCCTGAGGACAATTTATCACATAAAGACTGATAGTTTCAAGGTGAAATCTACAACCAGTGAAAAGTAAGAAGACAGGCATATTTCACATCTTAAGGTATATCTACACTGGGTTCAACTGATGGGACACAGAACTCCTTGGAAGATCCTAAGGAATTCAGACAAAAAGATTAACGTTTATCATCATAAATGACTGAAGTCAAAATGCAGGATATTAAATTAAAGGTGGAAAGAGAAAATAACAGAATTTATATACTTGGTCCTCTTTAGTGTTCTGCATGTTCATTTCATTAAATTCATAAGAACTATGCACATAAACCAAAAAGGCTTCTACTAAGAAACACCATTATGGCACTGTCGTGAAGATGACATGGTTGAGATCACTGAAGTGTCAAACAGTCAATAGTATGTTTATTTACGATAGCGCAACAGGAATGGGGTCGGAGCTGCCCCAGAGACCAACAGAAACCTGAAAGATTTAACACTGGATTTAACACTTTACACATTTGGGAAACCAGCAAATGAAATAGCAAAACAAAAGGATCTGTTCTAGTGATGATTTCCAGTAATTCTGCATTGAGTGAGGATTTAAGATTCAATGACTAATTTAATCCCATGAAAACACAACAAATCTAAGACAGTCCAGGTAAGCCTGTAAGATCTTGCTTAATTCTGTAGGAACAGTAACATTACAAAAAACTGAAAGAAAACTGCGTAACACTTAGCCAGCTTTTAAATGTTTCTCATGTACTTATGTATACACAGGGTTCATTCTTTTATGAATTTACTTGATGGGTGTTACTAATTAGTAAGTTGTGATATTGAATCTACTTAGCTCCTTAAGACAGAACTTGGTTTACACATCTAATAATTCTCTCATAGTAACAACATGATGCAGCACTATCATTTTAACAGGATTGTGATGAATCATTCTTTTCAGCACTATCCTGGATTTATTTCTTTCTTCGCTAGCTTTAGCATACTAACAGGTGCACTTTTTTTCCCCACATGCAACGCATATAAAATTAAATTTCTTGAACTCAAACTTTTAAGAGAATTCAGTAGTTCTCCTTCTCTTCCTCTTCCCCTCCCTTCTCACCCCTTGGTTCTTGATGTCCGTTATTCTTAGCTTGGGTACTAACAGAGGAGTATAAATCTACAAAGCTTCAACTTCTGCTAGATATTCCAAAGAAAAGATGTCTGACATTTACAACAAATACAGGTTCGATTGGGGGGGGACCCCCAAAAAAATCGATCCCACCCAAAATTTACAGTGAACAGATTAGGAAGAAAAGAGGGAACCCCTCTACATTACTTAAACTAAGATTCTTAAATCTTACAATACAGTCAGATATATAGTAGACCTGAGCAACTAGGTCTGCAGTAACATCAATGGTATTGTGTAGGCATGCCAACTCACACAGCATAGTCATGTCCACAAAGTGCTGTTTAACCTCAGACATCCGAAGTATCATACAGCAGTCACAGAACCCTAGCACTAACAGCCACGAAAGCCATGCAAGGTCTGGAGATCGGCACAGTCATATAAGCATGTTGTTATTCAAGTGATAAGAACATTCCTAAGATGAAAGAACTAAAAATGAAACTAGTACAACTGTCAGGTTTTCTTGAGTAGCTGTTAAATGCATGGCAAGGAACACAACAACAACAACTGCTTTTTTGATTTTGGTAAACTTGCTATGAGAAATGCAAGTGAGCTCAGACCATGGGCTGACATTCTTCGGCAGTGTTTCTCAAGTGAGCTTATGAGCTGCAGATCAAGCTCGTAATTCCTTCTTCGTTTAAGACTTAAGCACTTAATGGGAAGTAAGAATACTTCACACTTCGAAAAACTGGATCGTGTCTTTCACCCCAAGACAGACTCCAGAGAGGATGCTGAGAGGCTGTACAGACTATCCCAGATGGCAAATACTAACTCCATACTGATGAAATCTTGCAATATGATATTATTAGGCCTTTTACAGACCTTTCTCCTTAGCAGAAATGAGTAAAAATCAGGAGCACACCTTCTGTGCATATTGCAAGGGGAAGAGTTTTCTTGTCTTGAGTATGATGTTATTAAATGCTAAAACTAATCTAAGGTGATCTAAAGTAAATGTCAATTAATCTGCATAAAGAGACCAAGCTCAGTAAACAAGAAAATAGCTCTAAAGTCTTGCAGCAAAAACCAATGGAAAAATTTTATATATTAGTTCAAATGTGAGATCTAAGTTGGCTTCGCAGGGCTGAATCCTTACTAGTGGAAAATAATACAGAATACGAAGCTGGCTGCTGCATTAATCACAAGACCTACTCATAGAAATACAAAGAAGTATCTGAGAAGTATATACTGTATACACTACTATATACTGTATACACTAATACTGTAGAAGTATTCCTCATATGATTCACAAACAGCAGCTGTAAGAACAATAGAACTGTTAACATTAATAGATACAGTTCTTTTGTTCTCTACTTACTTCAAAATGTAACTCTGAATTTGTTGTACTAATGTTTCCCTTAGGTATATATTATTTGACATTTCATCATGCCAAATCTTTCAGGAAAATGTTACCATATCCACATTGCAACACACATCATGCATTTACTCTTCCATGCATGGTAACAGTAATGCAGACTAATATTCTGTGAAGGATTAGCCTACTGGTTTATAGAAACCAATTTCACTGGAAATAAGGAAAATCTCATCTTTTTAAATGCACTGTGGCCAACGACAGGGAGGAAAACAGCACTCATGCATATTATCTCTACTGTAAAGCCTAGCATAGCATGTTAAGACTACATCAACTATATACATATATATTTATATACATACATATATAGATAGATCTACAGGGAAAAAAAGTTAAAAAGGGGCAAAGACTGAAGCAATGGGAAGAACAGCATAGTCTCAAATAGGATCAAGTCAAAAGAACAATATTGCTAATCCTGGAGAACAGAACAACAGGAAAAGAACTCTTCCTCATTAAAAATATTTAGCCTTCCTACAAAACAAAGCTTTGGGAGAGGAAAACTGGTCTCTGTTTCGTTCCACAAACTTGGTAACTCGCAAAATGTCACTGTATTGCTTTTACCTCAGTAGCCTGATCCATCATTCCTATAGATTTGCTGAAGATTTGCTTAATTGCATCTTTCCTTTTCCTCTGTCTAGACTTTGTCATGTACATCTGAAAATAGTACCGTGTTCACAAGAAAATGCTATGGGCCACCTGTTCCTGACAGGTTACTAAAACAATCTGTAACAGATCAGCAAGAAGACTTGTGAATCACAAGTCTAGACTACATCTGTAGGTGACCTCCCAGCTTGAAAGCACCTACCTACAAAAGGCAAGAACCGTATTTTCTTTACTATTTTTCTACTTTTTCTGCTTGTCAGACAAATTATAACTGTTAAATTGACAGATGTACATACAATTAAGAAAGACTACAACCCTTTCTTTCCTCTCTGGTGCGGCTGACAAAAGAAGAGGGTACTTCTAGTGACAAATCATAGCTTAGCGCTGTACACTTGTTTGGTGTCTTTGTGCCTTGTCTTATGTACATCTTAGTGATAAAGATACACAAATAATATCTAATAAAGGTTTATAAACTCAAGATCGTATTTTCTTTTGCATTTTTCATGGAGCACTGTGTATGCCACATGTCTGTGCTCAAACCCATTTAACTGGTCTGCATTAACAGTCACGTTTGCAACATCAGCGTTGCAGCCCTTTTTGGTTTGCTTGAACTAATCACCATTCTTCCTGCTTCTTCCAGCTCCCATACACTTCAGTGGTAAAAGTTACAGATTGTTTACCTGAAAGTTATCCTTAAACTTATGCAAAGCTATTAAAATCTTTAAGATGAGAATTAGTGAGACATTACCTGTATGGGTAGCCATGGTATTTGGAGCGGAATATCGACAACAGGAAGCTGAAGAAAAAGACCACCAGACCCAGACCTACCAGACATATTACTGGAAAGAAAATAACTTTGTTTATTAGCACATAAAAGATTTAAAACTGGAATCTCTACAAAGAATATTATTTATGTCAATCATTTATAGAGAATTTTGACACAGTTAAATACAAAACTGTTACTGCCTTGACTACTGCTGCCCACTATCTTCTGACAGGATTTCAAACACATATGGAAATAATATTTATGGTGATTGAGAAAAAATAACTTGTCAGTGTGAATGTGTTTTCAAGAGACAAGAGAAGCAATTTGCAACTCAAATGTATGTGGATGCAAACACCTTACTGCTGATAATGGATTTAATAACCCTGTAAATTATACATATCAAGCAATGTAATTTCAGGTATTTTTGCTTTTTTTTTTTGGAAAAAGAAAAAATTACATCTAGAAAAATATCCCTTCACTAATAGAATCACGTTCTCTCTAGCCAACCATCTAAGGCTGAAGTAACAGCAAAGGCAGTTTAGTAACTACTTTATCTAGATCTTAGTAGCTAAAACATTTCACTGTTGTAAGTTCCAAGGCTGGTAGCCAAACCACTTTTTACTCTTAACTTTATATTGATAGCAATATAAAACTTCAGGTTTTGAAGATAAGTAACAACGACGCAGACTTTCTGATAGCATCCTGATGCAAGCGCTTTGAGCCTTTTCAGGCAAAGAATGAATTAGCAAAGTAAATGCTTAAATTAACAAATAAAATTTGGAACACCGGTTGGCACCCTGTGTAATAATAGCGTAAAATCTTTTTGATCATGATAGCTCACTCAATTGCATGTAAATAAATAAAAATAAAAGACAACATGCTATGAGCTGATGCATATAATTGAGATGCAGCTCATCTGCATTAGAGAATGTTTTGGTTCTAGTGAACTACTTTGATTTTAAAAGCTTCTCTTCTTGTACTATTCATACTTTAGTCAAACCTTTGCTATTTAATTGCGATATTCATGCTTCAAAAGTGTGCTGGCTTTGAGCAAAGGATGAGCAACCACGAAGCTGGGGAAACGGACAATGTCGCATTTTTTCATTATAACCGACCATGTGGAAACTGACATACGTCAATTGAAATATGAAATGTCTGCAGTTATTCTGAGAAAACTAGCCATGTACAAATCTTATAAACACACTTCATTTTAAAGAAATCACCGCTCACAAATATGATTTCAAAGCGTGGGTGAATAAATTGCAAAGCATGAACAGTGCAAGGCAGGTACACGGAGAGCATTCACGTAATGGCCACAAGCAGAAGAGAGTCTGAATTTGTACTGTAGCCCACCGTGATTTCACTGTGTCCATGTTCTTAGAGCCAGATCTCAATCATGATCTAAGATCATACCCCGGTTAAGCTCATGGCACATGTCACACCAGTATTAAAGCTACATACTGTAAAAAATATTCAGAATTAAATTATACATCTACAGCTCATTGGAGGAGACCCTCAAATCACTATAGAGTCGATATCTCTAGCCAGCATTCATCTAGCTATTATGAAAAATTATAGAGTGCTTTTATAGAAAACAGTTGGCCAGCCCTATCTGCAGTACATGTGTATTACGCAGAAGAAGCTAAAGCACTGATCTAGAAAGAAAGGGGAAGCCACGTAGGAAGTCAGGTGTCTTTCAAAGGTCTTCAACGCCTTAAACGAGAAAAAGAGTAAGTGGCAGGGGGCATGAAAAAACATGTTATAAAAGGTAGAAAGGCAGATGGGTATATTTGTTTCAATCTATGTGATAGTCAGTAAAAGTATCTTCAACAGTTAGGAAGTTTAAATCTGGATAAAATACTTTCATATTGTGTGTTTACGCGACTCATTGCCAAAGAATCTCGCAAATATTCTGGAGACATGATACTGGCAAAGCATACCAAGTGAAAGAATTTTCACACTTCTTTGGATGTTGTCAACTTAAGCATCTTAAATGCCTAAATTCATTTTGAAAACAATGTTTTGAAACTCTTATTCTTTATGTTACTGTCTTTCAATATAATTCAAGAGCCAAAAAGCATTTATGCAGTACTACGTAGTGGAGATACTGTGTCAAGCTGTACCTTGGCTGAGCATGCTGAAAACATTTTTTTACTGCTACAACTTCATATGAATGCAGTTTTATCAACAGAAATATTATACAAATGCAGTTTTATCAACAGAAATATTATACGCTCCTCTTCTCCAGCTCACAAAAGCTAAAAATTAGTTTAAGTTACAGACCTTCTGAAAACTTAATCAGATATTCATTTGTCATTCTCAATGACATCTAATTATCTAAACATTGTCTTAGTTGTACTAAATAACTTACTTCTCCTTTTCCCAACATCCCCTTTGGAAGTAGCAGCTTCATTCAGGAGTACCATTCCCATGGTGATAGCAGCATCTGTATCGCCATTGTCAAGGAAAACAGCAGATGTGTGGACACCTCAGAAAACCACAAAGATACATCTACAAACTAAAGCTTTCAAGTTCATAGAATGACAGAAAGTGTTTTTATGTAAGACTGCATATCGCAATCTGTACTGTACCAATACATTCACCTCTGGCAAAACCGTGCAGTAAGGTTTTCCTTTGTGCATTCTAGATAAAAAAAGGAAAGAAGGTTCAAAAAGCTTTAAAGGACAAGTCGTCAAGTAGGACACACATATTTTGGACAGTTATGAAAATAGCTATTCCCCAATATCTTACAATATTCTGTATATTGGTAGTAAAGGATTTTAAAAAATGAAAACTATAAGAACCAGAAATCATTCAGTGTTATTGCACACAATTCATTAGTTATTTGATGTGAACTGAAGCAGTTGGACTGCTTCATCTTCCTCTGCTTTTAGATAAGACATTAGCTCCCTCTTTAGTGTCATATTGGTTAATAGTTTAGCAGAGAAACATCCCAGAGGCAAAGTCCTCAGTCACTTTCAGTGTTTTATGGTCTCATTACAACTATTACAAATGTGAACAAGTACATAATGATAAAACAATTTAACTAATTTAGCAAGCTATTAAACCATTCACTCAATTGTTTATTTGAAACTGTATAAACAAAAAGGAATGGTTACTACTGTGCTTAACATCTGTTCTGAAGAGAAGGCATGCCTGAACGCAGTACTGAAGCAGGAGTGCATCATGGGAGCTATATCTCACAATTTCAGGAAATACAAACTTCACCAGAGTTAACCGAATCTTGAATAAGGTTGGGTTTTTAAGCATTACCTTCCCCAGGGCTAGGTAGCAGGATGAGTACAAATTTTAAGAATGAGAAGATGTTTCTGATTACTCACACAGATAATGCACGGGAGATACTTCAAACATGCTACATCCATAAACAACATCTGCATCCTGTAACATTATACTTGCAACAATCCTATCAATGATGTTAGAAGTGTTCAAAATTAGACCAAAACGCTCAAAGACATCCGAAATTTCACTTATACACTTTCAATTAAGCTGAGCCTGAGCAAAAGGATTCAGACATGTCAACACTAACATCATCACACTTCATCATAGATTAGCAGCCTGATTCAGATTTGAGACTTCCACATTTCATATACATAGAATAAGAAAAGTCAAATAAAGAATAACAGGATTAACAGAGGCAAACACCAATGGGGAAAGGAGGCAGATGTCCATGTCACCCAATAGGCAACATCAAGGAAATGTAAGTTTTAACACCACCTCTTTGATACAGACATCTACATACAGTCCTAAATTAGACACTCATTAGAAACACACTAATAGCCCAAATGACCTTCTCACACATGTGAACAAGTTATAATGCATAGGGTCTCTCTTATGAATAAAAGGTTATATTCATGTTTTCTAGAGCTTATTACTGGACTTGACAAAATATTAAGAAAAAAGTTTGCAAAATATTGGGAAAAAACCCAACCCTGGAATTCACAAGACTATGCAAATTGGAAGGGAAGGCAAAAATTACTTTCTAAAAATTTTGCCTGTTAAAATTCATATTCATGAGAATAAGAGACTGGAAATCTCCTGTGTTACTGCTATACTTCAAGTAGGAAAAAGAATTGGAAAGAATGTCATGAGAATCATTCAGTTCTCTGCTTTCCAAGGTTACAAAAGCATAAAAATGAATTAATTGAGGAAGTTGCAACGAGAATGGCTGAGAAAAAAAGATTCCACCTACATTTCTAACCTATGAAGAAAAGCCCCTAATGTGGCATATTTTCCCATTCCCTCACTTAGATTTGGAGCAGTGGTTTTGTTCTTAGTTTAACTGAGTGGTGGCAATAAAACCCAGCCCCAAGATGTGAGGGTAACTCACCAGAGCCTCTCAGGGAAGTGCTACTTTTTGCAGAGGTTTTTGTCTGCTTTGTAAATGGAATTTATTTGCTTGATTATCTCATGCGTTACTGCACATAACGTGGTCCTTTGCTATTTCCCTTACCTGGTTGCTTCTGAGAAACCAACCAACCAACTAACCAACCAACCAACCACAGACTAAAAAGCCATTTGGCAGACAACCATTCCGTAACCTAGCTCCTATTTTCTTGCCAGACCATGAGTTTAATTCACTTTTCTTACCATCAGGAAGAAGAGTCTCACAAAAGCAACTGTTTGGTCTGCAACCAAGAATTTTAGATTTGTAACAAGCTAAACTGTGCTGATTTTTTTTTTTTTTTCCTCTCTTTTGGAGTCTCACGCCATTGGTCCTAAAGTTTCCCTTACATTGTCACTATTTTTGCTTCAGTTGTTGCTTTCAAACTTTTGTCCTCATTGTTGAGCTTTCAGCCTCACTGGTTGTCTTTTAGCTTCAATGACATCAGCTTCATAACTTCACACTCTAACCCTGAGCGTATCACTTGCCTTGTGATGTTGAAGTTAAAATTCAGTCTTACTGAGTTGTGATTTCAAGGCAATCGTTAGCTTTTTACCACAGAATATATAGCTTAAATTACTATTTTTTGCTCCTGTTTCTAACATGGTATGTTATGGCTTTACATTATTTTAATATTCTATAAAAGAAAGTAACAGTCCTAGCTCTGAAAATAATATTTTACAGTATCATATTTCTCTAGCAGTGCAGAATTTAAAATTTTGGCAAGTGGTTACTTGGACAATTCTTCATCTGCAAAAAATGAGATGGCATCAGAAGATGTACTTATTTTCTAATTCCTGTTTATCTTCCCCACCATGCATTATGAAACTATCCTGAAAAGATGAGGGGAATGTGGCACTCAGATAAACCATGGCTAGCAAATGTTTTCATTTCAGATTCTCAGGTTTTCTGATAAATGTATCCCTCTGTAGCAAGTTTTTTTCTTTGTAAATACAGTTACATGTCTTCTCAAATTTGGAATGATTTCACTTTTCCATATCAAACTTCTGCTGCTCCTTTTCCCAGCTGGTACATGCTTTTCATAAAAATTGACAACGTGTATTATTTAGTTTTAAAGTAGGACGAAAAACACAGTGATCATCAAAGTTTGTAAGATTATTCAAAAAATGATCATTAACAGAATATAATATTCAGCCCTGCAAAAATCAAGATTCCAAATCAGAGGTATTAACAAAAAAAACCCATACCACCAAACCCAAATCGAAAAGAAAAAAATACTGGATCAATAAAGTCCAGAATGATAGACACTTCACAAACTGAAAGTCATTACTAGTAAATTCTGGATACTTTTTGTTAGCATACTTTACTAGACAATTTAATCACTGCTAATTTCATCCAGAAAGTCCAAAAAGAAGAAAACCTGATAGTTCATAAGTTTATTAATGTGATACACATATAATTCATATCTTTACTTCACAAATTTAGTCCTAATTAGTAGTCAGTGGGGAATAAAAGGGGAGAAAATAGGTTGACAAACACTTGGTTACTTTTGTGAAAAAGGTTGGTGGTCTCATTCCTGTTCTGCTGGATTTCTGTCAAGAGTACAAAATCTGGCATTAGCGTTATACACATAAAGCAACAACTACCTTTCAGTTGCAGAACATGCAGGTACTTAATAACACGTGTGCAAGAAAAAACAGGCAACAAAATATTCATCCACTCAAGTCTGTGCTCAGTTTACTGTTAAATAAAATGGGGATAGATTATCACACAAACTTTAGAAACTCCCAGTTCACTTTATCATATGTGGAACAAAGAAAAGCACATCCCTTTTTTGTGAAGGAGTAATACAATCAACAGGAAAAATCTATGGCATTTTCTCTTCTCTTTTTAATTTTTTTTTTTTTTTTTTTGACTGGGGGGTGATGATTAGAACATGAGAAATTCTTTGCTGGTCCCTTATGAGAGGGGCATATTTTGCTAACTGAGAGAGATATTTGTCTTAACTTTTTCCTACCAATACTTAAACCTCTAAAATATCTGCTATAATTTCCGACATACTGACCACATTACAGGTTCTTTCTCTGAACCATCTCAGGTTGGATTTAACTTTCAACTTGTATTTGAAAAATCTGAGCATAAAGTGCATTCCAGTCATCCTATTTAGGAAATATTCTTCAGCTGTGTGCAGTTCTTGAAAACAAGGTATTAGTCACTTTTCCCAGCTCGAGGATCTCATTTTTTTATCATAGGTTGAAGAAACTAATCAAGACAAAAAGTATGGTTGTGCCATGAAACATCTCATGGTTTTTTTTCAAGACATTGTTGCTTTAATTTAGGAAACAATGAGCCATGTCTCTAATATTCCATTAATGCTAGTCAACGTGCAATCATTTCTCAATTAGACCATAATCATCCCATTGGATGATTCAACAGGCCTTGAGGGCTGAGGAAGGAGGCACGTTTAAGATGCCCATCACTGTATGTCTCGTCTCAGTGAAGAAGGATGCCTCCTAACTCAGAGGCTGCAAAAGTGGAGCCTAGTCTGAAAATCCTTTATTTGAGTATCAATCTACCGTAAGCATGAATTGCACACAATCAAGATGTACTTCAGTATTTTTTAATGGCCTGAATTCTACTTGTACTGATACTCACAATAACCCTGAACATTCTTTCAGCTTAAAACCTTCTGGCTTCGGGTACACCAAATGGCTTTTCAAGAATTTTAGGAATTATTGCACAAGTCTTGGCACTGGAGTTCCCCTCAGCTCCTTGAAATATGCAATTCACAACAGTGAGGTGGCTGAAAGTTTGCATTTCAACCATATAAATGCCAACCAAACCACACCACTTTCCTTTTTGATGCTTTTTCATCATTTTAACAGAGCAGAGAATCAATTTGATACTAATAGAGAATCTCCTATAGCGAAGAAGTTTCTTTATTATTCATTTGATTAGTTTCAGCTTCAATTTGTGAGATTGTCTTTCAAATCCAGAGATAATCTGATGGAACTGTCCCTCCTGTGATGCTCTCAGACACTTGAGAATGGAAAAGCCATATAAAGGCTTCAGGAGAAGAGAAA